ACAGGTGTCCAGACCACAAAATCCACCAGCACTGTTAGCTCTAAGTGCCTCACCCACCCCTGGCAGCCTCTGATGAGAAACCAAAGACTGAAGGGGCGGTGGGGACTGAAATTCCCTTCTCTCCCTCTGGGCCGGGGCAAGAGACACATCCCACCTCTGCCTGGACTGTATCAAATCTGGGACAAACACCATATCAGCCTCAGGAGATGCCAGTCCAGTGCCTTCTGGAACTCTATTTTACCCTCCCAATTTTCATTAACAACTCATGGATAATCCCTCTCGCTTGGCTGGGTACTGAGGTGGCTCCTGAAACGCATCAGTGCTTTGGTCACTGGGAGAATGGGGGAACTGTAAACACCAACACCCATCTTCACTGTACAGGAAAATCGATAGCTAGTTTGAAGGCCAGAGCAACTATCTGGGACCTGCAGCACCCTCTGCCTGTTGCTCAGCCAGCCACTGCATTGTCTTCTGTACAGCAGCCATGGCTGGCCCTCAAGTGCTGAAGCTGCAGCACGACAGCCATTAACTAAGCGGCTGGAGTGGGAGGGGACAGAAAGAGACCCTAAAGAAACAATTCTCTATTGAAACTGGACAGCCGAGGCTCAGGTGCAACTGCCCCTGTGGGCATAAAGCAGCAGAGCTGAGGAGACTTCATTACTCTTTGCAACACCCCCTGCACAGAACAGCCCACTGGAGCCCTGAAAATCCCCCGCACCGCACCGCACCGCCCCACCCCACCCCATCCCCTTGGCTGGAGTTTGCCACTGTTCCTCAAGGTCAGCTCCAAAAGCAAGAGACGAAGAGAGCGAAAGGCAAGCAAAAATGGCTCCAACCCTTTTTATTGTGTTTCGTTTTTGTTATTGCTTTGTGAAGCAGAAAGATCCAGAAACACAGAGACCTTAGACTGGTGCAGAGAAATTTAGCCAGCAGGAAGGTGGAAGCCATTAGAGATCCCTTCTCTTTACCAGCACCTCTCACAGCCCGGTGAGAGACCAGCCAGACCACAACCGAAAGACAAGTGTTCGCTGAAGTGTGGGCAGGACTTTGGATCCAGGGGAGGGGGATTACAGGTTCTGCTAGTCATTAGAAAGGGTTCAGCATGGGCAGACCAGCCAGCCACACTCTACACTATTAACAGCCGCACCTCCGCTTTCTTGTCCGCCCCGCACCTACAAGCACACTGTCCACCCACCGCCCATCTAGTCACCCACAGCATCTCCAGGGCTTGCTAGGTCCTTCCCCTCACAAGGGTTAGGGGGGAAGGGGATATTTTGCCCCCTCCGTCTCTGCCCAGACCAGAAAAAACGTGTCTCTCCTGCACATCCTACCGGAGGAAGGGGAGTAGCTTATTCCTCTTTTGATTCACCACCTTCAAGTCTCACACACGCAGAACACGCAGCCTCCGGCACAAACTGCATGGAAACGTTGATATTCCCGTGCTGTTGGATCAAAGGCACGGACAGGCTCGAGGAAGAGGAGGAGGGATGGCACAGGAAGGCAACCTGGAAAGGCTTTGTTTGGTCCTGGCTCCAACACAGTCCTTGCCTTCCTCTACCTTGCAATGCCTTCTAGCTTGAACATACAAGTGGGCTTTGGGAAAGGAGGGGCATTGGGTGCAGGTCTGTTTTGTCTCCCCAGTGTATGAACAACACACTCCCCAGAGCATGCCCAGCTGAGCCAGAGCTCCCTGGAGTAACCTTTATTCCAGTGCATCGCAAGCATGTATTTCACGGATGGTTACACTGAATCATTATCACCAGACGTTCGTTGGACCAAAAAAATGTCATTAACATCGTCAGGTCCATTCCCCTCCCCCCACACCCCAACACAGACACAACTCCCCCCTCTCTCTCCCTCCAGACCCCCACCATCCACATCCCTCCCTAACACAAAATCGTATGATGTGCGACACAGCAGCCTGGAAAACAGAACGGCAAGATGGGGTGGCGAAATGGATGGACGTGCCTTTGGCATTTGCTGCGTTTCCCACCCCCTACCAATGTCGATGAAGCAAAAAAAAAAAAGGGGGGGGGGAATTAAATCATGGCCCATCACGTATGTGTGTGTGTATGCGTGTAAGTGCACACACATCCAAGCCACAGTCACACGCCTATCGGGAGCCTGCATCTGTGTGGCATGAAGCAAAGGTCATCATGCCACTGTTGTGATGCACTAAAAAAAAGCCGCAGAGCCATCAGGATGTAACACAGAATTTTCTCGTCAAGAGACGAGAAGCCTTTGGGGGGGGTTGGGAGGAGGAGAAGGGGTGTGCGGATGGGGGGTGGGAGAATGAGAGAAAATGGGGAGGAAAATGAAGAATACAAAGCTTCTACTCTGCTAATCTAAGATTGACAATCCATCCCTTCCCCCCCACCAAATGTCCTCCCTCCCCCCAAAATGTTGGTGCAGATGGATTTCTGTATCTTGGTTTTGCAGCAGTGGTTCTAATGACTCCCACAGCAAACCCCCTCGCTATGATAACCCCTCCCACCATTTTTGAGACCAATCTGAAGAATAATGTGTTTTTAGAGATAATGGGCTTTAAAAAAAGGACGTAGCGCAGACATTATGCGAATAAGCTGTTCCTTGCATCAACTCTATCTCTCCAACCCCACTCCCCAATTTCACCCCCTCCCCGCTCTCTCCATTTTTCCCCCACCAAACAACCCCAAGGAAAAATAAAAACAAAAAAAACACACAACAATGATCTGGGTAGCCGATCTCAAAATCTCAAATACTAATCCGCTCAATTTTGTTCTTCCCCTTATATAAGCAGCAGCACATCAACATGTTCAGTGGAAACGCAGCGTAAAATGAGGCCACGCTTCAGCCATGGAAGAGGGTGATATCGGCAGATATCGGTTCTATCAAGAAGCCATCATCACTAGTATGATGAAATCAAATATGGGGCTTTCAGTTATTTATTTAATTATTTTCTACTGCTTTTACCCTCTCCCGCTTTAAAAAAATTATAAATTAAATAATAAAAAACACAGACACACACCTCACCTGAAGGTGCCCGAATGCTCCAGAAAGAGAATTCTCACTTGCCAACTCCGTTTGTTTTTCTTTTTTTTAAAAAAAAATAAATAAATACAGCCCTGTTGCTCCCATTATCCCCAAACTTCCAACATCCCCAGACACACCTCCTGCCTCCCCTTCCCAAAAGCAGGATGCCTTGCAGGAGAGAGGCAATTGTGTGGGAACGTGCTGATGACCGAAAAAAGCCAACAGCATAAATGCAAAATTATCTACACAAAAATACCCCACCTTCCTCAGCAGATAAAGTGCGTCCGTCGGCAACACCAAGGGCAAGATTCTCAGCTCTCTCCCCACCCTTGTTCCCCAAAAATACTACTAAACCTTAGATAAACTTGCCTGACTTAACACTACGGACCATTTTAACTTAAACTAATGATAGATACAACACCCTTCAGTCACACAAGTAAGATTAATAACTCACTATATCCAGCTTGGAAGCAAATGCGTTTTGGTCTAGTTTTTCCCCACCAACCCAGCATCTCCCCCTCTGACTTTTCACCAGCCTAATTATGAGTTCACCCAACAAAAAACAGCCCCCAAAAATATAATTTAACATTGGTGTTGGTAGGCGGTCACGTCAGTGTATTCACTTCCTTAGGAAAGCTGGGTGCTTAACACAGAACAATTGTGTCCAGGGACGGAATAAGAACAAAATTAATTTTTTTTTAAATTCTATTTTCCACAAAGCTGTGACTAGTTAAGGTGGGGGCACGGGCTGGGATATACAAAAGACTCAAAGTGTCCTTTTTCTATTGATTCCATATTTTTAGCTTAGGTTTTCCTCCTTCAACCTTTGGTTTTTGTGTCTCTGATCTCCCGCCAATTATTATTATTATTATTATCATTATCATTATTATTATTATTAAGGTTGAAAGGGGAATTAAAAAAAAAATAGATAGATTTCAATTGTAACAAAATGTATTCTTAAAGAATGGCGGTTAATTAAGGTAGTTGTTACCCAGGGAAGACTGCCATTAAAATAAAATTAAAGAGTAAGCAAAAGACTCATCACCTGCAAAGCACCAGAGTCAGTGCCCTTAGGTAGGAGAATTACATCACTGCCCTGACAGAATGATGTTTTCTCTTTGACATTTTAAAGCAGTTAGATGTAAAAAACAAAACAAAACTAAACAAAACAAAGAAAAAGAAAACTGGGCATTCTGCATGCATCTTGCATGAAGAAAGCATCGAATCAACCTTTAAGGTCACTTGCTGCCTGAAAACCCACAGCAGTTGCCCACAGTGGAAGTTTTCAGGCAAGACAGCTACTAAATCATTAATATAAACAAATGGAAGGCGGGGAGGGAAGCTTCTTCTGTAATAGATCCAAAGCCAAAGAAAGGAGGAGGGGGAAAGAAAACTTTTGTCTTTTCCCCCTTCTTCCTCCTTCCCAAAAATGTTGTAATAAAAATCATACCTTTCAGCCCCTAGTCAAATAGTTTGATTCCTAAGCAGATCCCTGTTTTAATTCAAGGTAGCATTTTCTACTCTCAGAAAAGGGATTCCCTATTCTCTGCTTTAAAAAAAAAAGGAGTAAACCCTCTTCAATTTTTTTTCTTAACTGAAATAAGAAGAGCAAAGGGAAGCAAAAATAGAAGTATTCATTCAGGAGAGGAGTTTGTGCTTGTCACCTGAAAACAGATAATCCAACTAGGTGTGCAGTTTCAAAAAACCTGTCTTACTTTTTGTAGATGGGAACAAGAGGGAAAGAAAACAGGGTGTGGAGTCGGGGGGGCAGGGCATAAACTCACAGGACTGGACTGAAAAATAATAATAAATCTCCAAGACATAAGTGGTTCAAGATTTTTTTAAAAAAGAGCACCCTTGGATCTCTCAAGTCAAAACTTATAGCACCCACTGCCTTTCACACTGAAAGTATTTCCGCTGGATGCACAGAAACAGCTGTTCATTTTGGCTGTTTAATCCTGCCATCCATCCTTCCCCCAAAGTCTTACCTTTGCAGTTGAGAAGAGCTTTTGGCTGTTTAATCAACTCTTTTGTTTGTTTCCTCTTTGGGGCTGTAAGAATCCAGGGTGTTTCTCTGGGAGGGAGTGGTGGGGGGTGGGTGGGGGTGTTGGAGATGCTAAAACGGGTCCTTGATGGCTTGGGATGCAGGCAGAGAGGGGAGGTTTGGCTTGCCTCTCCCTCTCAGTGAGTTGCATGCAAGAGGAGATGTGTAGAGCTGAGCTCTCTGCCTTAGACTGTCAGAGGAGCCCAGGAATTTCACGCACTCCAAAGCGGATCCCTCCCTCTCCAGCGCACAGACCCAGCATTTAAAGAGACAGCCAGGCTGTGTGGCTCAGGGCTTCACCTCCTCCCTCGGCTGTTTTGCAAACAGCTGAGAAGATGTAATCTGGGGACATCCTCATACCCTGGATGACTAAGAGGCAGGTGTTTGAAAGCCCAGCTTTCCCACACAGAAAAGGAGTCTTAGGGAAACTGCAACGGGAAGATAACACACATACTGCCCCCCTGGGAAGGTCCTGTTGAATGTAATGGGGATTAAACTAAGAGGGCTCTACAGAAATTAAGAGCGGGTATCTTGAAATGGCTCTGCAAATCTATAGACTGCACTAGAAAATTATTTCCTCCCTATAGAAAATAACAGAGAATTGTTTCTATTCTATGTGAGTTTTCCTTGATGTAGGATTCTATAGTTTGGCTGAAAATGTATACAAAGACATTATCACCTGTATTCAATTCTATGGGACTTTTCCATAAAGAACCCACACATATACAGGCACTTCCAAACATATACACTTTATTTTACATTCAGATTCCCTATATATTCAACACAAAGAGAAAGCACCTCAGTTAAATAATGTGAAGGTGATAACCCTGGCTGACAAAGACAGGCAATTCAGAGGTCAGATGGTGCTCTGTCTGCAACTCACACAAGTCCTGACAGGAATGAGCTCACAGAAGCATGAATCTCCAGAACTGCATGGAAAATTATGAAAAGGTACTGTCAAGGCACACAATATCCTTCTAAAGAAGTATATGATTACTAATGGCACTTCCTTCTATCTGCCTATGTTTTATTTATACCTCACTCACCCTGCTGATTATGAGAACTGAAGGATTTTCAATTAATTTTCAACAGATTGTTTACTTTTTATCCTTCAGGGCCTTTACACTGGTCAGTTTCACTTTCAGTTTCTAGTCACTTTCACTTTCCAGCTCTCATGAACTCATCTAAAACTATAGCCACATCTGCAATCCCAACATTGCAGAAGCGCATTTAATTTTTAGATATATATGTAGCTCATTACATTCAACAAAATCAGTCAGGTGAATAAGGGCTGATCACATACATAAAAGGTAAAAGACAGAGAAAAAAAATCTTCAATAACAGTTTACAAAAATGCCTACAGAAACATTTCTATTCCTTTTATATTTTTGCAAGACTTTGTTTTTAACTATTTTTGAGTGAAATTTATTTGATATTCCAGGTAAAATTATGTGCCGTTTCATAGCTTGTGCAAATCTGTTAGTGTGTGCCACTGATTTGCCTTGTAACCTTGCAAAAGTCTATTACAGACTTTCTGTCCCTTAATTTTGCCATCTCTGAAAGGAGATCATGTGTATGTTATCGTGATTTATATCTACAAAATGCTTTGAGACCTATGGAAGAAAAGAGTTAAAGTCAAGAAAAGAGTTAAGGTTTTGACATTGACTAAACTGGGGCCAAGATTTCACCCACAGAGGGTAAGTAGTAAATATCATTAACCATTACTATCAGCATTATCATGTAACACAATAAATAAAATGGCAATTAACAGTCTCCCCCATATGCTATGAATTCTCCCCAAAGTGATCAAAAAGACTCAATGACATGTTCCAGTTGTTTCATGCATTCCTAAAAGAACCAGGGCAGAAGCAAACCCCCAAGTCAAAAAATGAATCTATAGACCTGGCACCTTCAAATAAATCTCTGTGTACATGCCTAGATACTACAGTGACAGCCATGTAGAAATGCATTTGCTCCACGAATAGATTGAAAAGATACCTGCCCTTCCTTTTCTTTCAGATCATAGAAAATAATCAAAGCTTTTGTCTTTCTCTACATTCCATACAGCACAGAGCTTACTTTCAGCCTTCTTACAGCACTCAAATACAAATAATTATTATTTTATACACTACATATTGATCACTTTGCCCACTGCTGAAATGCAGCTGCTTCTGAGGTATACAACAGCCATGCAGCAAAACTGAATAATAGTTCAAGGTAGTATCAGGTCTCCCTGGGGTTTTTTCTCCCCTCTGGAAAACACAGTTCTTCACCTCCCCTAACAAATTCAACTAAAATTAGGCTCAGGATATATGTCCTAGCTTGTAGTTTTGGTGATCCTGCACTTCCCAGATTCATCTATCAATGTAATGATTTCATGAGAGTATCAATTGGAAATCCAAATACATAAGGGCCTCCAGTTGACAAGGTCTTACTTAAATTGCCAGTAGGCAAGGTCTTAGGTTCTTACACTGCAGTCTGTCACCACAGTGTCTGACTACTTTCCATGTAAAATCAATAATAAAATTGAAGTCCCTACTCCTGCTAAAGATCTCAAGATCCTTAAATCTTTTAGATACAGAAAAGGGTACACTCAACAGGAAGGGCTTATTTCTCTTACCAGTTTCACTAATTCTTTCTTTTTCAATCCCAGCTCTCCAGCCCCCTCCCCCACTGCTTTTTACTTCTCATATATGCAAAAGGTTCATTCAACCCTATGAGACTTCCGTTGTCCCCTCAACATGTTGTGCTTCCCAACAGAAACCATGAACCTTTACAAAGATTCTTTCAAAAAAATCTCTCTTCTTGGATGGACCATGTAGCTTGATTTAAGAACAAATAAATAATCTGTTGGAGCATCAGGTTCATTTTCAAGAGTCATTATGAGGGAAAGTCATTTTCTGAATGAAACCCAAGATCTATTTTCCTAAGATCACAAGGGAATTATTTAAGAACTCTCCAGATCATCAGTGTCAGGTGCTCCTGCTCACCTATGCATGAGTCCTTCCATCTTGGAACAACTCTCGCATTCTCCCCTTCGACCAGCAGAGGGTGCTCAAATGCCAAGTGGCAAAGCCTGCAAATCAAGCCAGAAAAAAAGAAGTAAATTTGGACAGCTGAATTATCTTTCAGTCTTTTCCAGTCTTCTTGCTATACTAGTTTCCTTTACAGTACTTTCAATTTAATTATTTCTCTGGACATATCATTCTAGTCTAATTCTAGCAAAGTATAAAGATTGGCAACTCCTGTTGGAGTAAATTGCTAGAACTTCTGCTTCCTGGGAATAACATGTCACCTGTGACTTTTTAGACACTTACTTGGCACATAAACACATTTATCATCTTGAGTCACTAACCCACAACCTCAAAAGCAGGGACCCAGCCTGGTATCACAAACTCTTGCATAGTTTAGACTACAAGGGCATATCTGGGGATGGAAAAAAACTAAAGAGTCTTTAGAGTGTCCGGAAAAGCAGGGGAACAGCAAGGAGGATGTGAGCTCAATTTGAGAAACGTGTGTACCTTGTATGCACCTTGAGGGCTGCCTCTGTTTAAGAGTGTGGAATACACTGCAGGGCCCACAGTCACAGCTTGCGATACTGACATTTATTTGGAGGTACAAAGACAGAACTTGGGACCTAAAAACATAAGCTGGGGCCTAGGATACAGAGATGCTCTGAGATGGGCACTGAGGGAAAAAATAAAGCAGAGAGAAATGTAGAGCACAGGCAGTGTCAATGTAACATTACTGCAGATGCTGTATACATGTGTAAGTGTGTATATATACACACATAGTACATGTACACACACAGCCTTTCACAGGTCTGGTTCTCAGAACACACACCTACAGGAACACTGAAGGCATTATTACTTTAGCCCCTGTGCCTGCTTCAGCAAAGAAGGATTTTATGGAGCTGATTGGACCAACATGCTAGGAATGGGCTCTGGGATGATTGCTCTCTATGACGTCTGTCTCCATTCAGTTCTAGGCTAGACCAGCTCTGGGACACTGGGAAAAAGGACACAGGCACCCGTTTCAGGTCACTCAAGAGCTGGAAGAGTGGGCTAGCACAGCTGCCCAGGGCAGTGCAGCTCCAACTGAGGCATCAGAGGGGAAAGTAGTCACCAGCTTCTTCCCACCAAAGCATAGGCATGGGGATGCAGGGGCTGTCATGCAAGAGAAGCCGTAGGGGGAGTTCAGCTCCTGTAGAACAAGAGAACTGGAGGTGGGAGGGAGCCCAGAGTTGTGGGACAGGGAAGGAGCACCTGTGGCAGGCTGGGGCCTGCTAAGAAGTGCAGGGCCTGCTGCAGCTTCCCAGCCAGGCTCTGGTGCCCTTAGCAGCACCACATGCTACCCTCCCCATGCAGTCTGGCAGCCACTTGCGAAGCAGCAAAAGGAGAGGAAGAGAGACAGAGTTCCTCCCCTCTGTGACAGCACCACAGCAGCCCTCTGTGCCTAGGGCTCACTTCAGGGGGAGCCCTGAACAGACCC